GCGCACGGCGATGCGATTTTAATGATGCGTTTCAAGGTCCCAAGGTCTCTGCCACGGATAAGCTGCAGGGCCGTTGCCGTCTGATCCCGGTGACAGCTGGGCCTTAGATAGAAGCTATCATCCCGCTATCGACTTCCATAATAAGAGAACGTTCGAGCTAAACGCTTTCACCGGTTCCACCGCGCGCGTCGTATACGGAGTGTCTCGAAACTAACGTCCGTGATATTGCTGTCGTCTCTCGTCTCGTCTCCTTCCCGTATGAAATCGACGTTACCTCGGTTATTATACTCTCTCGTGGCAGCGAAACATCCGCCGTGGAAACGCCGCGAGGTTACTCGTGCCACCGTGCTATTTATTTTCGAACGGATGCCGCGAACGATCTTCTTGCTCGCGCGATTTATTTTCGCAGCCGCCGCCGCCGCCGCTGACGAGAGAACACGAGAAAGCTCTGCGGGGATACGGGCGGATATAACAGGGAGAGGTGCGCAAAATTTCAGCACCGCACGCGGTTAGGTAGATCGCGAGCGAGTCGAGGAAGCTCCCGTACGTGCAGCGTCGCACGTGGCGCGGCGCGGCGCGGCGCGGCGCGTCGTCGCGCCGGCGACGAAACGACAATTTGCAAGGTCCGCGCGCGCGTTGCGCTCGTAGACGGCGATACGAGCAAAGAGACCTTCGCGCGATGGTCAGGGCCACGAGAGGTTCTTGCGCCGAGAGCGTTAATCTCGCGAACGCGCGCTACGTGATCGCAAACTGCACACGCATGTTGCCCATGGGCGTCGTGCGCTTGCATATGCACGACCCGGACTTTTTCTCGCATGCACCCGCGCGCGCAATCAGCCGGGTCCGGGCCGGCGCGATCGGTCGCCTCGCGTCGGCCGACGTCGGATTTTAACTTGCGAAAGATCGCGTAATCGCGAGGTCGTTAGAATAATACGCGCCGGTGCTGCGGTGGGGAGATGATGCGCGTTCTCGCGTTTTTACGTAGAGAACCGCGTCGTTCGCTTCACCGTTGCGTCGAGACGGGAACGTCGAGAGGAGAGAAAAGAAAGAGAATCGAACGATTCTGTTGCAGAGATCTCAAAATGGAGAACATCGTGCTGCAGGACGAGCGCAAGGAGCAGATCAAGATAGTGGGTGAGAGGCAGATATATACGCATACGCGCGTGCGCGCGAGCGAGCGAGCGAGCGTTACGGCCGTGGCGATTGCCATTACAATCGCGCCATCGATCGAGCCGCGTAGATTAGCGTGCGCGGCGCGAAAATCGCGGCTGCAATGCGCCCGCTCGCGTGACGCTCGGGATTTTCGAGCGTGAAATCAGATCCGCCTGAGCGCGGATGAAAAATCCGCATAAAAAATCGCGGCCACGATAAAATTGGCCGCAACTCGTATAATTATGCGGCAGCGTAACACCCTGTTATTTTTAACGGTCCCTTCCCCTTCGCTTCCCGGCAGCGCCGGTCAAGTGCCGATCCCGATGTAGATATTTTGCAAAAGTGCTGCGAACACAGGGTGCAGCGATCACACGCGCCGCGCGCTTGGTGAATTTGCATCTCGTGTAATCGTCAATCTTGCGCGCGACTTTCGGGTGAAATTAAAACACAAGTGTCGCAAGGACGGAGAGCGCGTCGCTTATCGATTTCTCACCGTGCGGAATATCCTCTCCTCGCCGCGTGTCCATCGCATACATCGGGATCATTCACGAGAGAAATTGCCCGCCGCTCGGCGACGGACGCTGTTGAAAACAGCGCTCGAGGGCTTGGTAATCTTTCCCCAAGCGGGAGAGCGTACTCACCGCTTTGATGACAGGCGTCTTTCTCGTGCGTCACCTCGTGCAGATTTCGGTCTCAGCAACATTTACGCCGGCGACGATCCTCTGCGGACGCACTGCGGCTCCCCGGAGTACGCGGCCCCCGAGCTCTTCGTCGTAGGCAAACGATACGGTCCGGAGGTGGATCTGTGGAGTCTGTGAGTAAAACACATTCATCGGCATTAAGTCGCGAAATAGCACAGAGCCGTAATTAGTGGCACTGGATTAACCGATCAACACGCTACATCGCTTACGAGAGCTGATGAACTGCTCGGCTCGCTTCATCGAAACTTGGAAAATTCGACTTCGATGCAGCGAGTATGAATAGTCGTTAGCGTGTCGGCGGCCACTTTGCCAGAGAGACGGTATTAAAAACGGCCAATGAAAAACGAGAAATACGATAAGCAGCGGGGTCGTCTTGTATGGAATGATCACCGGCCGACTGCCGTTTCTGTGCCCCCGCGACAAGTGGACGCCGTCGGAGAAACGTCAACAAAGGTTGATGATCCAGATCAACAAAGGCTTGACGTCGACGCAAGAGAAAGCCATGTGTCAGACGTCGAGCGACTGCAAAAATCTGGTCAACCGTCTGCTTATGCCGACGGCTCACGACAGGATCACCATTCGGGAGATCCTCGAGCATCCGTGGATCCTCACGCCAGCGAAGCGCAATTTTCACGCTCGCTTCGAGCTCGAGTTCAAGGATCTCAACGCGGCCGATCATGTCGCGGTAATATACAGTCGGCTGCAACCGAAGGTTGCAACGCTTTTTGTCTTTGATAGTCCCGCAGAACTCGTGTCCAGCGAGAGCATTTGTTTCTCAGTAATTTCTCAAGAGATCTCCGTTTTCTTATCAGACACGAAACGCGTCGCGAAAAATTCATCGAAGTGAAAAGTGTTGCGGGCTTTAACCAACCGACTGCATGCAGATTGCTTCGGCAATAGTTATCCAAGGCGCGATTTTTCACACGACGATTTCTCATAGCTTCAAAACGAGAACCGCGCTTGTGTTGTGAAACAAGCGAGAAAGTGAAAAAATCAAAGACGACCGTGGGCTTTGTGTTTCCTTTGTCATCTATGCTGAACGGAAAGCTCTTCGTCATCAATGTCTTTGATAATGTAACTTCGTTACCGGTGATATAAAATTTTTAGACGTTAACGAACCCGCATGCCTCGCGTTCTGACTTTTATTATCGGTATCCTGCGTGCTCGTTATAACACGTCGAATTTCCGACTTTACGACCACGATACTTTGCGGTTTTTCGCCCTGTCTTGCGATATGCGCACCAATTAGTAACGCCATACGAAATACCGTGCGAGGTGATTTTGCATCGCCGATTATTGTAGATAGTGAACGAGATCGCGACGGCCATGCGAACGACCGCGGCTACTATCGAGGCTGAAATAATGAGACGAAAGTACGGGGAAATTGGCGGCATGTATAATATAAAGTAAGAACACCGTATAACTCCGTGTAACACGAAAGATAAGACGAGTTCTTCCGCGCTGTAATTACCCATATTTAAACATATTATATCTATATCGTATCTGTGACATTCATATTTATTTATACTAGATATATTTATTAGATATAATTATTAGATATATTTATTAGATATAATTTTATTTATAATTTATAATTTTATTTTATATTATATTTATTTATTTGACATCGAAAAAGGTGGCAAGCTTCGGTACTTTACTCTTCCTAAGGATGAAAAAAGGTCATATAAACATAGGTCCGGAAACTCTTTCTTTCCGAGATATAAGCATTTTTTTGTTTATGATTGATTATTGTAGGAATGTTTAATGCTTACTTAAAGAAATTGCTGGAAATAATTTCCTTCTGCAATAATACACGTTTCACATCGACGTTGCAGAGACCGTCGAAGACGTTCAAAAATTCTTGGTGTATTCCGAATTTTGTCACATGCAGCAATAATCCGATTTTTTTAGTGTTTCCAAACTATCAATAGTATTATTATCATGGACTAAATTTTTAAAATGACCCCACAAATAAAAATCTAAAGGAGTTAAGTCAAGGGAGCGTACAGGCCAGGCAATTCTCTGCTAATTCACCGATTGGTCTAATTGTTATTAAGATATATTTTCGATTAAAATGGGCCGTAGCTCTATCATGCATAAACCACATTCGAATAAAAAGTTTAATTTCCAAAAATTGTGTATAATTTTTATCGTTGAGTGTAAATGGAAGAAAAACTGATCTAATAAGCAAGCTTCCAATAATTCCAGCCCGCATGTTGCACGAAAACTAGTGTTGATGTCGAGATTGATTAAAAGCATGCGGATTTTCACAGATATTGATTGTAAAAATTTACAATAACGTCTCGCGTAAATTTTGCCTTATCTGTAAAAAATATAGATACTTCTAAATGTCGTATAATAATTCACTGGTGCAGATACCACAGACAAAAGATCACTCGTGGTTGATAATCCACTGGTAATTTTTGTACTCGCTGATTTGCTATGGCATACGTTGTCGACAAACGTGTTTATATCTCGACGATGCGACGCGTGTTGATCAAGCTCCAAACATTCTTACAATACTCTACCGTAGACAAAAAAAGTGTTTATGTCTCGGAAAGAAAGAATTTTCAGATTTTCCAGAAGTTTTCAGAAGACTCGTGTTTATATGACCTTTTTTCATCCTTAGGAAGAGTAAAGAATACGGTATCGAAGTCTGGCAACCTTTTTCGGTGTGATTCCTGTACATTTTTATTTTTATTACTTTTGTACACTTATATTTATTATTATATGAGCTTCATGTGCTTTTGACCACAGAGTTCACAAGCTGCATGAAACAATAGCTACCGTAGCCTCTTGTAAATTAGCATCGCGCCTCCTTCGAAGTTCCACGTGCCAAAGTGAAGACGCGTCGTCGTCGAGCGTGACTATCAAGTATGCTAATTAAATGCACGAGACATAATTTAGATAAGCTTCTCGAGAGAAGTAATTCCCGGGGAAGAATTTCGCGAGAGACGAGCAGCAGAAAAACGCGAACGTTCTTTAAAAATGCAAACGACTCCCAGCAAAATAGCCAGGCAAAATCATGTAATTATCGTGATATTTCTCCGTTGCGATTTTTTCTTCCGATACAGAACGAGAGGTAATTTTCGAAACGGTACATCCAGAGATTCTTACAATGCCGATCGCGTGGTCGTCATGCGACACGGCCAGGTGCAAGATCGATCAGTCAAGAAATCCTCATTACACGGTTCCGCGGCATGGAACTGGCGATGCCGCTCCGGAAACGGAAATCACTCTGCCGAGGAACCGAGAAATTCCGTAAAATTTCGCCTCCCCTTATCGCCTCTCCGATCCAAACGCGATTATGATCATAATGATCGTGCAAATTTCCCGCAGTAGGTTAATTATTAATTTCTCGTGTTTCTTTCCCCTCCCCAGAGGAACCGTCACGACGTATCTACCGTGAACGCGTTTTTACCTCCCCAGCAATATCGTGCACCGCAAATTATAAAAATACAGAACGACAGGACCTCGGGACAACCATTACACAGGTACAGAATGTAAAAAGTACAATTATTTCAAAAGTACAATTATTATGCGCGCATGTAGCAAGGAAGTCAATTGTTCATTAACAGAGACAAAACGCAGTCAAAAACTTCCACGTACTCCACTGATCCCAAGAAAAAAACGGGAAAAAGCAGAGAGGTCTTCGAAGTCGATCGCGATATGATAGCCCCGACTTTACGAACGAATTCACGCATTAGTAGCGAAAGCATGCCTACATCGCAAATTAGAGTAAGCATTTGCACGATAGAAGTATTACTTGAAGAAATAACGCTCGCCAAATTGTCGCGTTTATTCCGACGAGAGTCGGAAAAATCTTAAGATCTCTACGATGCATTTATCATATTTTTTTCAGGAGGCCTACAAGAAGATTATTATTCCTTCATGGCGATTTCGAGTTGGAAGCGCGAGAATAAGGAGGGACACGTGAGATTTTTAACGAATTTTCCGAAGGATTTCGAACATTTTACAGCCGCGTATTTTTTGACGAATAGTACTTTTGTTAAGGTGCATAAGTTTCCCGAGACAATCGGGGATTAACCTTCTTAAATCACGAGTTTACATACATCTCTGTCAATTAAAAGATATTAGCTACATATCTTTGTATTAGAAACAAATGATTTTCATGGAAAAATTGTTCTGTACTACATGTATCTCACACATATTGATACACATATTGATACACAATAGTCATGTATATGATTAATAAACGGATATTCAGCTTAAAAAGACGATCATAAACCTCAATCTCGACAGACGAGATGCAATTGAAATATAAATTAGTTCCAATACGGTTGTCCTCAAATGGCAACATTTTTTTGTATTGTTGAAGAAACGTATTTTTCTATTTTCACACCAGTTACCCAAACAGCACAAAATCTCCAGAGGACATTCTGAGGACATCTTGAGGACGTTCTTAAGACGTAGGGACGGCCTCAGGATGTCCCTTGGAGATCTGTGCTGTATGGGTAATAGCGTGATTCAATAATGCTTATTCTAAAAATCTTACAGAGAAACAAAATATTTCGTGGAACTTTATTTCGTGAAAGAACAAAAAATAAATGAAATAGCATATAGCTACTATGTGTATAAAAAATGCACGATATTGATGCAGCCGAATGTGAAATTTAAAGTTAAATATAAGAAAGATAAATATATCGAATATATTTCGTCGCGGATCTTGAATAAAGCTTCACGATTGTCAAGAAAACTCAGAGAATCCGACGATAACTCAGATATATTACCGACTACTACCGACTGTACGCACTCTGTTATAATCTCTATTATGTCGGTACTTACCGACTTCTCTCTCGACGGGCGTCGCAACAGCGTAGGATGCATCTGTTGAGCTCCAACCTCCAGAAACACACAAACGGGCGATATTTTGTTCGACACTCCCGTATTTCGCTCGACAAGATTCACTTCAGCGGATTTTGTCACGCACGAGACTTACTTTCGGCGCTCCCGGTGATGATTCGCACACAAGACTCTTCGGCGAATCGGAAAGCGGAGCTCGATAAATTCGAGCCATACCGGCGGCCGGGTTGTTACTATACTCAATACTCCCGATCACTTTCGGCGGCTGTTCGACAATACTTAATTGTCATGCACGCATGCGACACTTACTTTCGGCACTCCCGGAGACGATTCGCGCGCGAGATTCGTCTTCGACGAGCTGGAATCTCGAGAAACACAGAACGACTTACCGATACTGATCGTCCTACCGCGGCCATATCACAAATACCTAAACACTGCAGTGATTGGGTTTCTTATAGTACCGACGCGCCACAGGCGACGAGAGGCGTCGACGTACGACCAATCACAAAGCTCCATTTACCTTTTGAATTCGCGCATACATAAATGCAATATGATACTTGGAACAGACTTCGTATTCGAAATATTCACGACCTTGTTGCGAAAAATACACGAAACTTATCGTCGACATTTCCGAAAGCAATAATTCGCGTACGAGGCGCTGCGTTGCTAGTCTTGAAAGCCTACAAATGCGACGGTTTGAATCTCGACCTGCCGATATGGCGACTGCGCAATACTCTACCCGATATTCTCGACAGTCGCGAGATATTTGTTCTCGCTATTGTTATAGTTTTGTGCTTAAACTTGGCGCGAGACACTACCGTGCCTCTTGATAATGTTCGAGAAGGTTCCGACATAACATTAACGAATATTAACGCGAAATATTAACAATTATGCCGTGAGAAATATGCGAAGTTGGCAACAATAATTCGCACATTAAACTCTACCTTGTCAAATCGAAATTGCATATATAATGCAGAAATTGAAATTCTAAACTACGCGATATACGTCCTACTTTCATTTAATATTTTTAATGATTCGTTTCATGAGATGTTAACTTTCAATGCCTGTTTTACAATGTTCTGCTACCATAAGTGCATATTTCGACAGTTTCGACAAAAATTCGATCAATTTCCCTAAGAACTACGCAATGATACATTTTATAACCGATCGTACATGTCATAGAGGTTAAGCTCTCGATGCATCGTTATGTTTCAAGAATCTCGTAAATATGTTAAAGAATATTGCAAAGATATCTGTACAAAAACTCGTGGAATAAATCAATTATCAGTATAGAATGTAAATTTCTGGAAATTTTACCACAGTTTTCGAGTATGCTCTACTTTTGTATCCAATTTCCTAGCGAAGCTTTTAATCGAGCGACGAAATGGCGGAAAAGGAATGACAGAGAGAGAGAGAGAGAGAGAGAAGTAGGCTGCGTTCCGATATTCACTGCCAGTACTGAAAATACATAGTTTGTGTCACGTATATTATAGATTGTCAGTGCTGGCAGTAAATATCGGAACGCAGCTACAGAAAGAGAGCGGGCCACGTGAAAAAAGTCACACGAATTCACCAATCAGAAAGAACCACATGGACGTGCCGTATTCCTGACGTTTCACCCACCAGAGGCGCTCTACGTCATGTGAGCGCGTTGCATCGCACATATGATCGTTAAACATGCCTGAGTTCGTTGTTGAAAGTGTATTTCCGAAAAATCGACGTGAGGAAGGATGCTACCGGCATACGCATACGAGTATTATGTTATGCACTGGCCAAAAACCTCTCACGTGAACGTCAAGCGGAAGGATGCGACAAACAACACTATGACACCGAATCGCCTCGTGTCCTTCGTCTTCATCTCCGGGATCGTGGTTGCTATTGTTGGCACATTACTGTTGCAGTACATATTCAATTGGTCCACTAATTTTCCAAGTATGTAAAAATTAGCACATCCAATTGTCCTAGACTATATATAATTTTTGTTACAGTACATGTCATGAATGAAAATAAAAATATCACTTTGTGCAATATTTCGTGAAAAAAATAATTTGCGCTGTGATTTCGTAGTCTGCAGACAACTAAGAACAGAGGTATTCGTTATCTTTTTCAGAGCAAGAGTTTCATCATGTATTTATACCACTTCCTCCGGATGACATATCAAATAAGGAGTACACTCTCAGTGTTGCATTGGGCAACACAGAACTTGATAAACTGCTGGTTCGAAATACTGAGACGTCCACAGCAGAGGCACTGACGTCCTTGCATTTAGCTATAGAGATGAAATCATCCGGCAAGCAAAAGAAAGCTATAAAATTATTTCAACATGCAATGGCATTGGCACCGCATCATCCAGATGTTTTAAATCATTATGGAGAATTTTTAGAGCATACTCAAAATAATGTGATTAAAGCTAATGAATTTTATGTACGTGCTTTAACTTATGAACCGAACCATGAAAGTGCTTTAATAAATAGTCAAAGGACAGCCCGTGTAGTTGAAGAACTAGACAGAAGAATGCTCAGACGCATCGACGAAAAGAGGAACACGCTGTCCACGATACCTGATCATAATGCAGCACTGATACGTGCCAAAAAGGAGGCTTACTTCCAACATATTTATCACACAGTGGGGATCGAGGGAAATACCATGAATTTAGCACAAACAAGAGCTATAGTAGAGACACGTACCGCAGTTGCCGGGAAAAGTATCGACGAGCACAATGAAATTCTCGGATTGGATGCTGCTATGAAATATATCAATGCGACCTTGGTCAATAGGTAAGTTTCCATAGTGCAATAATCTTGAAAGACGATATAAAAATACAACACAAAAGTATAAATTTTAATTTCAAGACAACTAAGGAGGATGACATATATATATATAACTACTCTTGCTATATGATTAAATTTTGTTTTAGAGTAGGTTTGATTTCCATAAAAGATATATTGGAGATTCACAGGCGTGTGTTGGGCCATGTGGATCCTGTTGAAGGTGGTCAGTTTCGCAGAACTCAGGTATATGTCGGTGGCCATATACCTCCAGGTCCAGGTGACATACATTACTTGATGGAGGAGTTTGGGATGTGGTTAAACAGCGAACAAGCCATCAGGTTGCATCCAGTTAAGTAAGTAAATTACTGATCTTTTCTTCCTTTCCAGTGATACTTTTTAAAGATGTTGATAAAAAAATATTCCCCACAGATACGCAGCTGTCGCACATTACAAGCTGGTACATATACATCCTTTTGCTGATGGTAATGGTAGAACATCTCGCTTGCTCATGAACATGATTCTCATGCAAGCCGGATACCCACCTGTTATTATTCATAAGCAACACCGCCACAAGTATTACGAGAATTTGCAGATAGCAAACGCCGGAGATGTGAGACCGTTTGTGAGATTCATAGCTGAATGCACGGAACAGACGTTAGACTTGTTCCTGTGGGCGACCAGCGAATTCTCTCGACAGGTTCCCGCTTTGAGTCAAGAGACTCTTTTTATGGAGAGGCACAATACGATTATTTTGGAGGATGAAAGTAATGATATACTCGAAAACGATTGAAGAACCTGTTTGATCGAGATTTGAAGTATTTTTGAGACCAAAGAGAACATTTGCCTTACCTATGTGTCCTGTATCATTTTATTTATTAATATTCACATTTCTCGAATGAAAGTTCCGATACGAAGTAACGAGTTATGTTGTGACATATTTGAAATCAAATAGAATCACTTGAATTCAAGTTTGAAACCAAGTTTGTGTGATATTCAGATTTTTGTCGCAAAGTTTTAAACATATCCGCTCGTTGCTCGTTGATGTGTGATTTATGTGAATCTGTTATTACACTATTTGAAAGCTGCCAATTACTTTTAACGCATGAGCCCATGTAAATACGAGTCTCTTCCATTGTGCTGTACAAAATTAATTTATAATATTTATAAGTGTGTATGTATGTATGTAATGAGTGCAACAAGAAGTAAACGATGAAGCATATACATTGGAAAGAAATCTTTCTCTCAACAATAATTTCGAGCGGTAATACATTTTTATGCGGTATCGCGTAAATTCACCGGTGTATTCGTATTCCGTACACGTTAATCCGATTGGTCATTCAGCGGGGAGGTCTGATCACACAGCATTCACATCCCATTGGTCCGACAAAGAGCGAGATGCACCAATCGCATGCACCTGTCTTGCTCGAGAAATGCATCTGACCCCCTCCCCCGCTGTGCCGCTGCGCGGAATCGCAATTGGTGAGCGAGACTCCTCAGCGCACGATTGGTCCACGTTTATCGAGAACAAGCGCGACGAGATCCAAGCGGACCAGCCGCGTCGTCCGACGAGGCTCTAGCGACTCCTAGTGAGTTCCGTGTGTAAACGACACGCATCGGGTGGCTGCTCGCGCAACGTAATCCGCCGAGTAAACATTCGCCTAGTGGCGCACGCGAGGAGACGTAAGCACTCTGTGGATCAAGAATTCTTTACTTGTTAAGTTTACAAACCATTTGTGGAAGTTCGATCTGCAGGAGAACAGAGTGTTGCGTTTTATTGTGAAGTATGTGCTGTCGTTTGCCGAGTACGTCATTCAGCGGAGGCCCGTTACGTTTCTTGTCCTCGGGTCCATAGCTGTCGTCATCGTCGTCATCACCGAGGATTGTCGGTTGGCGGCTGAGCGAACGGAAGAGTACAGCGCGGTGGTACGAAAGAGAAAGAGAGAGAGAGAGAGAGAGAGAGAAAAAAGGCCGCGCACAGCGACGTCAGCAAGGGACGGCGGCGCGCTTTGTGAAAACGAAGTCCGGACAGATCACCGTCACCGTCGCTGCGTCCGTCAGAATCGTCGTTTGCGAGCGGAGCACCCCGCGCGCTGTGTCTGTCGAACAGCACAATCGATAACCCTGCGGGCGCTTTTTGCTTAACGAGAGGAAGAGAGACAGACAGATCGTAATGGCGAGAGCGTGGCGTCGACGGCGATAGATGTTGGAGTGGGAGAGACCGTGGTAAAAACAATGCTGAATCGCCAGGGAGCCTCGCGTAAGTGAACGAATATCCCGTGATGAAAGCGCGTATCGACGGCGGCAGCTAGGCGGTCGACTCGCGTGTCGATTCGAGGAAGAGTGTAGCTGTGTGCTGCTGCTGCTGCTGCTGCTACTACTACTGTGCGCTTCCGGTGCTTTTTTTTACCGTGACCGACGAGAGCGCTTGCCCCGTAGCATAATTATTAACCTCGACACAACGACGTAACACGCTCGATCCGTCTCGAGCGAAACGAGTTTCGAGGAGCGACGAGGTTCCTGTCGGAAATTCCGCTGCACTTCGCGGCAGCTCATGCGCACAAGTAGCATCAGTAATTAGTCGACGCGTGAGGTGTGTTGGTTTTCAAAAGTAGTGCTGGTTACTCCCTGCAAGGCTGTCCCGCTGAGATTCCGACGAATTCTACTCATGGTTCGTAGCGTCGCACTGCGTTCAGGTCAAAATTTTCGAAAAATTGGATGGACTCGCGCGAGTTGCGAGGGAAAAATGACTTGCTCCACTCGGGCCGTTAATGCGCGGGAAATTCCCCGTCTCGAAAATAGCGATGTTTTCTTGTCAAAATAGTTCCGATATTTATGAGATTTCGTTCTTTGTTCGGTGAGTTTTGACGTAGCAGCGGGAGGTGATACGCCAAAACTCACATATTCTTATAAAAATAGCATCGCAAAAATTCAGATTGGCGAACGATGATATGTCCCGATTCACGCTTTGTTCAATGTTGTCGCTACTATACGCACAGCGGTAGACGCTTTCGTATTTTTGAGAAATTTTGTTGAAGGTGAAGGTGCAAATTTTTTGAAACAAGAGATTTTTTCGTAACGATCTTTTGTGTGTTTACAATTGAGTACCATAAATATTAAATAATATCCTGTAATCTATCCAGAAAGAAATATATTCAGAGACGTCAATGTACTTTCTTTTTGATGAATTTTTTATTTATATACTGTTAAAGCATAAACTTATAAAATTGGGGTGCAAGACACTCAAAACATATAATTCAATTGAAATTGAAAGATGATGTAATATCTATGAATTATACATCGATAAAAAGAGTAAAAATCATTTTTTTTTGTTTTTTTTAATAAAACATTTCCATTTTAGCATGATTTTTCTATTTTCAGTTTTGTTTCTAGTGAAAATACATGTATATTTGATTTAGATATAAAATTTCGCGTCCTCTTGCGCTTGACTCTTATTAACATTTTGTTATTTTACAACTTGGATAATTTTTTCTTCAGAGTTACTTAAGAAGTTACTTAAGAAAAAATTCTTCCATTGTTCAAGATCCGACCAAAGAATTAAGTTAAGATTATTTGTGTAATTTCAGATTGTGTGTTCTGACAAGGGAAGATTACTTCTCATCGTTATCCAAGGATATCAGATTATGCACTGCTGCTATTTATCTCATTATCATTGAATTTGACTAGGAGTCTCTGCTCCAAAAGTCATTGCTGCTGTGTATAATTGCCACCTATTTGTGAAATATGGATGATGAAGAAGGATCTTCAAATGCAGGACCGATGTCTTCGTTAAACAGTTTGTTCTCATTCACGAGTCCTGCGGTGAAAAAGTTACTTGGCTGGAAACAAGGCGATGAGGAGGAGAAATGGGCCGAAAAAGCAGTGGACTCTTTGGTGAAGAAACTGAAGAAACGCAAAGGCGCGATTGAAGAGTTGGAACGTGCTCTCAGCTGCCCAGGTACACCAAGCAAGTGTGTGACAATACCCAGAAGTTTAGATGGCAGATTACAAGTTTCGCACCGCAAAGGTCTGCCGCATGTAATATACTGCAGAGTATGGCGATGGCCAGACCTACAGTCGCATCACGAATTGAAGCCGCTTGAGCTGTGTCAATATCCATTTTCTGCCAAACAAAAAGAAGTCTGCATCAATCCCTATCACTACAAGAGAGTAGAGAGCCCGGTGTTGCCACCTGTATTGGTTCCTAGACACTCTGAATATGCACCAGGTCACTCTTTGCTGCCGTTCCAACAATTAGCGGAACCCACGATGCCACACAATGTGTCCTATTCATCGAGTGGTTTCAATGCAACTTCGGCCAGTGGCGTGAATCCAACGTCTCCCATGTCCTCCGTCGGTTCCGTGCCAAGTCCGGGCAGTACGACATTGCCGAATCCGCAAAGTCCATATGGTACAAACGGCTTACCGGAAACACCACCACCGGCCTATTCTCCGCCCGAGGACGGCTCTCAAACTGGTCAGTCACCGCCCTCAGATTCTGTTCCGATGGATACGAGCGCACCTCCTGAAGTAGCACCTGTGTGTTACCAAGAACCCCCTTACTGGGCCTCGATTGCCTATTATGAGCTCAACTGTCGGGTAGGCGAAGTGTTCCACTGTCAGTCGCACTCTGTGATCGTCGACGGTTTCACTAATCCAAGCAACAATTCTGATCGCTTCTGTTTGGGACAACTATCTAACGTAAATCGTAATTCTACGATAGAGAATACGAGGCGACATATAGGCAAGGGAGTTCATCTCTATTACGTCGGAGGAGAAGTTTATGCCGAGTGTCTGTCCGATTCTGCCATATTCGTACAATCTAGGAATTGTAATCATCACCATGGTTTTCACCCTAGCACAGTTTGCAAAATCCCACCAGGTTGTTCATTGAAGATATTCAACAATCAGGAGTTCGCCCAGCTTCTCTCGCAAAGCGTGAATCATGGTTTCGAGGCTGTTTATGAATTAACCAAGATGTGCACGATCAGGTAATTAAATTCACGCATCAAGCAATCGAGTGGTGTAACTAATATTTACATACGTACGCGCTCCTCTTATTTGCAGAATGTCATTTGTGAAAGGATGGGGCGCTGAATATCATCGGCAGGACGTTACGTCTACCCCTTGCTGGATCGAGGCACATTTACACGGACCTTTGCAGTGGTTAGATAAAGTGTTAACGCAAATGGGCTCGCCTCATAATGCTATAAGTTCTGTGTCATAAGTAATACGCGCACGCGTCACAGGATGATACATTATGATAGAAGGACGATTAGTTGTTCGATGCATTCTAATTATTTAATGAGACTGGATAAAGTCACAGGTGCGAGAACACGGGCACGTTCGATCGTACGCAATTTCGTCTGTGTAAGTTACTCTGTACGTTTCGTCAACGTTGAAATCAAATCTTATGAGAATAAAATGGCAACCGAAAAGGAAAACAAAAATTGACGTAATGTTCCAAGAAAATCTGAGGAATTGCGAGAAGTTACGCGAAACATTTAACAGCGATCTCTGGGAATTATCGTGATCACAGATTATACACTTAGATGCTGTAAAACTCTTTGGCTGTTACATAGGGAAGGAATTATTATACATAATGATACATAATAATATGGTATATATATATATATAAAAAAAATATTTTTCAAATCTATGCATCAGTCGTAACACTTTATTTTATATGGAGACTTATTGTGGAGATATTTATCACACATACGGTGTAGTATCGCAAATCCGTTACTAGACGACTTTAAGATTTATTGTAACGACAGTAAAAAAAAATATATATATATATATATATATATGTATACAGCGAATACAGCTTCTTGACAAAGAGAGTAAATTCTCCGAATTACAGGGCGAGAAAGAATATATATACATATACACACGCAAATATATTTATATATATTCTACGTTTTCTCGATCGAGTTTAATCTAACGATTATGTCTCTTAAGTTACGTGTGCACTTTAAAAAATTTAGGTCTAGATTTATTGAAATTTTAGCGCGGAAAAAATCACGACGTGAGCGCCGCGGGGCTTTATTGATAAACTACGCGTTTATATTATTTCAATGTAAGACATTGGACGTTGATCTCACGTTGACTACTGAAAGTCAACTGCGTCCGATTATATATTGAAAATATTAAATTCATACCGATCCTTAGGAGGATTTATGTAGCTCATGGCTTTCTCCATCTCCGTGTAGGATTATATTGCATTATATTCTGAATGATATTGTGTCACCGACTCGGCGCTTTCCGTATATTTGTCGAATCCTGTGAACAGAACTCGATTGGATAAAACAGTAAACAATTAAACAAGTTTCATATGTTGGGAATGTACTAAGTTTCACTTACGCGCTGTATATATTCGTATATGTACGGGGATTTCGTAGGCGAAATGTGTGCAAACGAAAATTATTAGTAAGTTCATTATATGCGTTGCTCGACGAAAATTTATGTTCACCGATCGATCGGACATAATCTTCAAGTTACGTTCGTTACTTTCCTACGATACGAAAAAGAGTGCCAAAAGGAACGGAATATTCGCATAATATTTTTAATTTATGCACTGTGATATTTTATCAGAGAGTTACGATTCTTTCATTGTATCTAAGCACGTTCCCAAAGTCTGAGATCATGTAATCCGAAAGTACATCGATGTCTTTGTCTGAGTGTCTTAGCCGTGAGATATGTATGTAAATATATAATATTATAATATGTATTAACAGTGCCTAATTATCTAGACAATACCATCTTTTTTCACTGCCGTTTGCTGTCACTTGTTTGCCGATGTGCCTAGCTGTGATTCTTTGCTATTCAATTTGGCAGATATGCGAAAGCTATTATATTACAATAAAAAAACGAATGAAAGTACGAGAGGAACAAGGTATTTTTCGCAAATTACGATTCCGTGATAAAACAGAAGAAACAAGAGAAAATAAATTTATTAGGGGTCTAAGATATTTGGCTAATAATTACGTGAGATTAAGTGTGATATAAAACGAGAGAAAGTATGATAGCGAATAATATGTCGCGATTTACGATCTGGACCCGAACAACGTGGAAATCCGCGGCGAAACGTCGCGCGAGTCACGAACAAACAGGATACCGTTGTAACACGGACACGAATGTCGACTAGAAATGTTACCTTAATTCCATATTGCACAATGCGGTGCAAATCGTTGCGCTAATTACGTACGTTGAGCGATAGGGACAATAATCGATGACTATGAAAAGGGTATAAACGAAAAAAAAAAAAACAATTGTAAGATACGTTCAGCCCGTCCTAAAGCTAAGAAAATTTATTGTTCGATACAATGATATATATTGATTGGCTCGGATTCTGCGCGAAAAGGAAAGGAACCGCTCGACCTAATTCCCTTGTCGTGTTGTGAAACACGAAAAGCAAGCATCGACAAAGGATTGACATTGTATGTGTATGTGTTTACTCCTGTATTCTATGTTTACTGCTCGAGTTTGCTGTCGCGTCTCGAGAGTCGGAGCTCTTCCTCTTCGCGCGAAGTGCGATCCAATTTTATGCCGCGAGGCGTTCTCACCATCTCCGGATGCAGATACACGAATGTTAGAAGTCTCACATTACTAGCGCCGTATTACGATCCGCGTCGTTCGCACAAGCGACAGCGGTTAGAACCGATTAGAATGAAGTTGAGAAGAGATCTTCTCGGCACGCGTTGGGCTTTTGTCGCCGTCGATGCGGAGAGCACGATGCTTTACTGTAAGACGCACGTGTATGGATAGTTTCTCATTAATGCAAGATTATACTTACAGCTTGTATTTCGCGTTCTCACCAGTCCTCGTTTTCTCGCTAATCAAGTCGTCTCACGGATTACTCGCGAAGCCCGTTTGCAAACCATTCGCCTGATCCTTCAGAGTCTGAACAGAGAGAGAGAGAGAGAGAGACACGTATGTCTCTTATTAAAAAGCGACATTGTCTGCGATATAATTCGTCCTTCAAATTTGATATTCGCGAAGATTGAGCGGAGCACCTGAATTCGATTGCATGCCGCCCGAATTTGTGCCTTGGAAGCCTTTTATATTTTATATCCGTATAAAGACGTTATGATATGTTACGCGCAATTTCTGAAATCTAATAGCAGCCGGGATGAATGACACGTTGCGCCCGAAAACGCGCGCGCGCGCGTCACCTTTCCCAGGCGTAAAACCGAAAACGACGAGAGAAAAAGAACATGTATCAGAATTGTCCACTTGTAAAATAAATCTGCAACTGTATGTCTTTGAACTGTAGCGTCGCATTGCAGCGAACGCGTAGTCCACGCTTCAGCGCAGCGTCGCGTCTGTGATCGTCTGATGTTGCTTGGTTTTGTTTAACCGAAATGATTATCGCACTCGCGGTGTGCGATCATGCGACGTGTACAAGGCCATGCCGGAAATTCACATGTGCCTTTGAGATATTGATACAAAAGAAGTCGAGCGCCTCTCCGCAGTAACGTCGAGGCAGCGATCGGCCGATGTATTACTCTGCCTCTAATCTACCGCGCGCGTACTCGTTGTTCCTCTGTAAATACAAATTATCGTGTTGTGAAATGACGATAAATTGTACTTTGACGTGCATACAATGTAACACGCGCTAGGATTCTCATTGATCCGTTAACGGTTAAATGTGAAACTCTAGTCGAGCCCGATTTTCGCTCAGTAAACTCGAGAACTCACACCGTCGTGTGTCGTTGAATCACCACTGCAACTATCTCTTCTCTACAGACGGTCTCGCGTTTATCAGTTGCCCGACGTGGAAGCGCTCGGTTGCTTTTGCACAAAAGCCGTCTATTGATGTCGGTACCACGAAGAGCAAATAGACGACCGATTGAAGTGCGAAGGAACGATTTGAAAACGGGCTCGCGATATTCCACGTGTCAGTGATTGTATATATATATATGCATCATACATATGTGTGTGTGTGTGTGTGTGTATATATATGTATATATACATAATATACATACATATATATACAAATCTTGTTAGCGCGTAAGACACGCCTTCGGAATCCATTCCACGTTATATACCGGTAGAGAAGATAACCGCGGATTTTTTCCCGCTCGCGCGGTTTCTCCGTATGTATGCTCATGTGGCGTGTTTGAAATTAAATCAGCAACGACGACGACGACGACGACGACGACGACGATGACGACGTAGACACACGAGTCTCTTTAATCTGTATAGCCAACCATTTCTCTCGCTCTTTTGCGAGAGAACGGTATCGTTTCGTAGGACGTAGCGCTATCGTAAGACTATAACAAAAAAAAGGAATTAATTAGCTACCAAACGCATGGCGTGTAGTACATTCTCTCATTTTCTTGCCGCACGTTTTTTCCCTTCCTCTTTTTCTTTCCCCTTCCTTTACGGTTAAAGGAGAGAAGAAAAAAAAAAGAAAAGACATTCTATGTACAGAAGACGTTATTTTAATCGTAATATACATGTATACATAGTGTATAATGATGTGTAGCGACGAAATGGTAGAACAATACATGGTTTGTGCTGTATGTATCGTGACACGCGTTATGCGGTAAAAGAATGGAGTCTTGTCGGGGAAACTAGCGGAAACAACGAACGGCCCATCGGTCGGAGCAGCTCGTGTTGCAAGATACACGAGATGCTCCGCAAAAACATTGCAATTATCGCAGACGACGTCCCGACGTCGATCGAACGGTCTCTGTACTTCGCTAGTGAAAGATCTTCACCGTTATTCCCGATGGTAAAAGATCGTCATAATTCGGCGACTAGAACGCCGGGGACTGACCCTTGGGGATCCAATGAAATTCCGCAGTCGACGACTATATGCATCTCGTTCGACGTGAATAAAAAAAGAAAAAAGAGAAATTATCCGCACTCTCGGTCACGTTTTATATGTAGCCTTCTTACACCTATGCCGTTCACACACATGCATTTCTGGTAATCATTGTCTTGTCTACCGAGTAAAATTAATGCCTACCTGTCTGTATCTATGTGCGATTAAACATGTGCGATGGTCGTATGTCGTCTCATAATTACGCACGCTCGATAATCCTTTCCACTCTGACGACGATAATCCCTTTCGTCCAGCGACAAACAATTCCGCGCGAAATGGCATGATAGAATTTTTTTTTTTAATTATTTTTTAACAAAAATCCGGCCTGTCTCGTTACTTGAAACTTATCTCATGTGAAATATAGACTTGAAATTTACAGACCTAAAATATACAGACTTTGGAATTGAATGTGCGAATTTTTTTCTATCTAAATTGCGATTAAAGATATAACGTCACGTATATCATGTTACTCGAGTGAAAAAATCATCCGACTATTCCACGTATGAGAAGAAGTTTTTCAAGTCATGATTATTGACTGGAGCTTTCGAAAAATTTTTTTGCGACAATGTCGTAAACCTGATACACCTGATAGGAATATATAAAAATTAATTGTAGTAATTAATGTTTGTAAACGCATATTTTTCTCTCCAGTCGCTCGTTGCAACAATTTTAAAACCCACCGACAACGAAACGTGATATCTTGAAGGATTCTGTTGATGAGGATGAGGAAATTCTTACTTCCGCTCACAGTTTTTTCCGTTTTTTTTCTTTTTTTGCAATTTATTTCATTCATAAAGCAACAACGTGAAACCTCTCGTACGTATCCAAAATCTTTCTGTGCACATCAAATTAGAATAGTTCCAGAGGTCGACTATTAAGTACGACATATAGAAGAGGGGTAAAGAGATAAGGCAGGATGAGGATACGGGTCGTTTGATTCGCCTCGTCTCTTTCTTTCCGCATAAATTATTCGATTATAAAAAAATAAGAAGTATATTAACGTCTTTCGATCGTTAAGCTTCATCTATTACGCCACTATACTTATTAAAAAATACTATATTCGAGACGGTGAAACGTGTGACACTTTTCTTTTTCTTTTCCTCTGTGTAATCTAAAACAAAAAAAGGCTCCGCCAATTGTTTTAAGTCTCGTCGAATCGAAACTATATTGAGTAGTATGTCTGAACTACAGCAGCAGTAGTAACGGCAGCAATCGGCGAAAACGCTGCTAAAACGAGAACTGTTCGTCCGAAATGTTCGTTAATAATAGCGAAGCACATACACACATACATACACACACACTTTGTAGAGAGGTATCGAGAAGGAAACATTATGTAGTCGGATATGTGTAACGAAAACAACGTCGACTGTCTTCGACGTGCGAAGCGAAGTATAAGTGTAGTAGTGGTATAATTGCATATATATATATAGCCTCGGGCTATAATAAATATACTTGATAAATACGTTAAATTAAATTAAAATGCGCCCGGCGGCGGGTGTAACTATAAGTTTACTTTTTGATTTAACAGTAATTTTTTTCTTTTTAAACAATGTCTTTACATACACATGTCTTTACATTCTCTCTCTCTCTCTCTCTCTCTCTCTCTCTCTCTTTCTCTCTATTTGAGTATTTTATATATTTATATAAAAATCGCACGTCTCTCTCTCTCTTTCTTTCTCTCAACAGAAATGTCAATTCTCCATTACTCTCTATAACTCTCTCTCTCTCTCTCTCTCCCTCTCTTTTTCTCTGTTATTATCGCTAATTTATTTCTAAGCTTCAAGATCGAGTAACTCCCAGTTTAAGTGTAATTAGAACGATATTATACGTTTATTACAAAATCGAGCATACGCGCGGCAATGATTGTTTATTCGCGAGCTCACGCACGAGAGGATCTCGCGGCACGCAAGAATGGATTTGCGTTTGGAGAACAAAATGTTCAAGAGAGATAAGTCGCACAACACGTAACGCACGCTTTATTCTCGTTGATCTTCTTAACTCTCTATGGTCTAGCGCGATGATATTGGTGTGATAGAGATATCCTCGCACGATTAACACGGCGACGACACGTCTTTTCAATGAGATATACAACGCAGAGGCCTTCGACGAGTCGTGAGAGGGCGAATTGGTCTTCGATCTGCTCGAATTATAAGATACGATAAATATTTATGACTAATTATAACAAATATCGAGATATAATAAGACGTTGCGACAATCTATCGCATCTTCAACTTTGTACGCGCTGTCGCGCGCTAATCCTGGTCGCCAATTCAATCTTCAGCATTCTGCCGAAGGAGCCCTGCGCATTTGTCGCCGAAATAGTGCTAGTCTTCTTTATACGAACTTTGGATAACGCGTTCACACACCGTCGATCACGTGCCGCGATATATTACTTTAGAGAACGCGAGGATCAAACACGAGACAGGATGGAGATTTATTTAGCTCTTATCTTACGTAATAAGGTTTTCTCGATTTCGCTTATCAAAAGAGAAAAGCAACGTCCATAGAGCATCAAAAGATCGTAGACTTTTTACGCCGGTTAACTGCTACAAATCGCGAAAATCGACGGTATACACTGTTGGACGTGTCCGCAGTAAAGCTTACATTAAAAACCACTTAGCGTACGTTGCTACTCGGTGACTCAGATATAAGAGTGAGGAAGAAAACACAGGAGTATTCGTTGACAAACCAAATGAAAATTTTAATCTCAATATTGTAATAACGTAAGAGAGAAAAGGGTGGACCGTTTGATGCCGTCGACGATATTGATACTAAAAAAAAAACTTCAACATCGGGACTGGATAAACGCCGCTGTGCAGTTTCTTACGAGCTAAAAATTACATTCTTATTTTTTCTCGAAATCAGTCGTTATTTGGTTTACGAATGTCGTTTACTTCACGTGTATTATGTGTGTATGTGTGTGCGTTTATGTTTCGCGATGAACATGTTCCATGTATGTGAGAGAGTGTACAAAGTATCACCATGCGTGTGTCATATTTTATATACACACACATACACACATATAATTCTGTTTCTTCTGACGGGAATCGGCTTGCTAAAGCTTTTTCTATCTCCTTCATCCAATCACACACTGGGTCCCTCGTAACAATACATCTAGCGGTCTATATAGCCTAAAAACGAGTGTTAGTCTGATTTCTGGCATCATCATTATCTGCGGTGGTACTCTGCATCTCGAAGACGGACAAATGGTACACATACGACGGGGGTACGTACCGACGCATTGTGCTTGACGGTTAAAAATTTCCGCGATAGTCCTAGGATACTGCCCGGAATCAGTGGTAAAATGTGCGAGAAGTCACTTGAGAAACGTGTAAACGTGTAAAACGTTCTGAGATTTTGTTGCTAGCTAAATAAAATGCGCGCTCGCGTGTATAATGTGTGTGTATGTATATGTGTGTGTGTGTATGTGTGTGTATATATATATATGTGTGTGTTATCTTCACGAACGATCCTCGAGTACTTAAAATTTTTTACGGTTTCAAAAACTAAAAAAAAAAGAAAAGAGAAAAAAGGGTACGGAAAGAACTCCAACACGCTTCATTTTACATTCGTGGACGATTAGATTTATTATCTTCGTTATATCCCCGGCCACCTCGATTTGTTCGCGTCGCAAGTTGACGGGCGCAATGAAAATAACGGCAAAATAATTATAAACTCGCGAGAGATACGCCGGTTTCTGTATTACGTTTCGTGAACATTCTTTCTCTCTCTCTCTCCCTCTCTCCCTCTCTCTCTCTCTCTCTCTCTCTCTCTCTTTCTCATCTCGCTACGTAGAATCGTTATATATAATATAGAATCGCGCTAAAGGTAAGTTTCTTCTGGAGAACTAAGTTCTTCTTGCTTTTGCTCTCGCTCTCTCTCTCTCTCTCTCTCTCTCTCTCTCTCTCTCTCTCTCTCTCTCTCTCTCTCTGTCGTTCTCAACAGAACGAGACAGAATGTATCTCTCGTCCACGATATAATTTCGCAGCAATTTTTGAAGAAGGCAAGAGGTTCCGCGTTTACATATCCGCGCTCTTATACATACATTTTATATATATATATATATAATATATATATAAAATGTATGACTGTCGTATGTCGCACTATTAAGAATGTGTTGTGTATATGTCTGCTTCTCACGCGTTCTCGCGATCAACGGCCGGTACACGATAAGAAGAAATATGAAGAAGCGGTCTTCTCTCACCGGTGAGAGAGATAATCGTTATACTTTTCCTTTATTGTTTCGCGTATTTTTTTTTCTCGTGTGTCTTTTCTATTCTTTTTCCTCTTCGCTTTCCTTCTCGTGCTCGCCTTCAAAAAAAAAAAAAAAAAAAAAAAAAAAGAAAAAAAAAGAAAAAAGAAAAAAAGAAAGAAAAAAGAAAGCGTCCCTCTTCTTAATTGTACCGCGTAATGTTGCGCGTTCGGGTCATCTTCTGGCTGATTTGTTCCTCCTGCAAGAGCTGCCCGCGGAACTGGCTCACTTGGTCAAGCGCGTTGTTCAAAGTGTCACGCTGCTGTATTAGCAGTTGCTCCCACTTTTGGGCATACGCTGCAACAGATAACACGCAAACCCGTCAACCCAAGAGCATGATTAGACATCGGCTTAGCATAGTTAAGGATTAAGACGGACACGCCGAGACGACATATATATGCCGCGTATGAACGCCGGAGCCGTTCTCTCGGTTCGATTTTGGTACTTCCGCGCGTGTTTGTGCGTTTTAGCTTTTCCTTAAAAGCGCTGTTTCCTTAAAACGCGACTAGCGGCTAGGTACACTTCTATCAGCCTCATTGCCATGACGGTCTTGTGTTGAAACGAGAGTCTTGATGTTGCTCAGCGGGACACCAAATTACCAGCATGGCAATGAAGCCCAAAGAGATTGCAATGTTAATCTTTTAAAGTTAAGGTGTGTTTGAAAACACACGACGATAAAGAAGCAGCGACTTGAATCTAAGTACCAATGTGTCGAGGTACTTGCTTAATTCTAGACATTCTTATTATTCTGGCCTTTGGATACGAATATTTAAACCGTGTAAATATATGTATACATGCTTGTTGGAAATTTAAATTAAAAAAGAGAAATGTTTCCACGTTGAAAGTCTGAACGAGTTTGGAAGATCAAAATGATAAGTATGTCCAGAGTTAGGCATATATCGCGGCGGTATGTTACATCCACCTTACTTCCGTATCTACGGAAGTCTTCCAGAGCCGAGAAGTGAAGCCGCTAGTTTCGGTTTTCTTCCGTATTAAAGCGCCCAATTATACGAGTCAACACGAACGTGTCGACAGACATTTGTGTATCGGTATGGTACTTTTTTTTCTTTTTTTTTTCTCGAACCGCGCACGTTTTTTCCAACAGTCGTCTCGAAGCGCTGAGGTGGCTGAGGGACCAGAAAGTTGTGAGGATTGTTTACACGTGTACATGTAAAAACACGATTAGAGAAATTGCAGATACGCTATTAGGTGGAAGCTTAAGCCGAGCACAAGCCAGACTTATCCGGTAATTTCGCCTGTATGGAGATGTGGTTACATGTAATTATGCTGAACGCGTGTGAGATAGTTTGTTAAAACCCACAAAAATAATATTTATTAACAGGGACACGGTCTGCATACATACATGAAACGACGCGCTGATCGCTTCCGAGGATAATATACAGGCAATTTTTGTACTTGTATACAGCGCTCTTAGAGACTTTTGCGTTCCTTCGAATTTATAGTTTTTACGCAACGGTATATGTATGTACAAAATCGACTCTTCGTCCAACGAGATGTACTTTAGTAAGACTATCATACACATACGACGATATGTAACAGCCGTGAAAGAAAAGACAAATGTTGAGTTTACCCTCCCGGGATATTCAATCCGCGTTATCGCGAAGATATCGCTGACTCTGTACGTCGATTTTGCATCGATATCCGCGGGGATTGTGTAATCACATCGACACGACGATTTTGCAAGTACAAGCTCGACGGCTCTATCGTTCCCTTCGAGTATGTAATTTCTGCGACAAAAGAAATATTATACTGCGGATAAAAGAAAACTTTAACCAAAGAAAACTTTAACCAAACTTTAACCAATCTTGATAATTGAATTTTACAACGACACCTCCTGAAATGTCCTCGAGCGGACGAGAAGAAAATTCACTTCTTAAGCGCACGACTATCAGAGTATCGTTAAAAAATATTATTTTTGGGGATGCATAAATATACGTACATATTTGAAATCGAGAGATGCGTGTGACGCATCGATGACGAACGAATATATGTGACGCATATCATTAGTACGTAACATGGTGCATATTGATTAAATCAAGCTGCTTCTCTGAGACTATTTGATAGAATTGTTAATCGAATGGTTTTTCGTACCGTCGGAAAATAGCTTTCTCTCTATAAGACGTCTACGGAACGAGAAACTCCTCAGGTAGGGTGACTCAAACTTTGTTCTTTTCCGCCTCAAATCTGCAAGGTTTTTTCCTGGTATTACATCAGAAGTCCCTCTTATAGCTTTACGATTGCAGAATGCGACATTTCTTTTAAGTGTATCAATATTAATAGAGCACGTGGGGAAAGTTTTATTCGCTATAATGCTAGTACTAAACGTGTGTTCTATTCGTGGCTATGAATGTAGCCTCGTCCGCTTATACATAAAGGCTAATAATAATATTGATAAAACAATGGCGAGAGAATCGCGATTAAAAATACTTATGATATATTTATCTTTTTTATGCAATATCTCGATACTGTGAGTCGTATTGTTTATATAAAACACTGTTCTCGTGGGAACAACGACCAAGTGCTGCGTTTTGCGGCAGAGAGGAATGCGAATATATTAAATGTGTACATTCATCACTACGGCGCACACACACACACACACACACACACAGAATTAGTATCGGGGAAGACACTTCGAGAACGTGCATACAGCCAAGCTCAAGGAATGCGCGAGTGTTCGTTTCGAAAAGAAGGGAATGATATTTGTATGTTATATTAGATCTAAAATTACGTAAAAAGAAAACATTCCACATAATGTCATATCAATGTGATACGTTTACGACATAAGGCCATAAAATAAAATCTTCCAAAATTCCATTACATTACCCTATGTACTGTAAACCTACATAACAATAATTATTATAACGTAAAATACATAAGATTAAAATCTCTCGTGACGTTCAACATACGTTCTCAAGCTCGTCTAAATTTATTCATTTTTTTTTTTAATCGAATTCAGGTCACACGATTATTACTTGCGTTTTGCGGAAAGTCTCATAAAAAATCGCACTCATAAAAAACGTCGCACCATTTCATTCGCTCTCTGTTCCTTTTACATAAATGAAAAACATGACATACGTCGCTGGCAAAAGTAATAGTAGAACAACGTCTTTCAAGAGGGTTAGTAGAGAGCACCAGAATTTGCAACAAAGCGATCGCACAGCGGACTTTTTGTTCCCGATAGCGCCAGTCGCTTCTCCGCGGCGCGATTTGGAACTCGATGTTAAGTCGACACACCGCTTCATATTGCGAAGATTGTCGCGTTTTTTTCCACGAATCATATCAGCGCAGGCGGGAGAAAATCGAGAGTACGACGTGGACATGTTTCGCGGCTTGCTCGTATGCAAGTCGCCAGTGTCGCACACATCCACATCTTGATCGTCTACATCCATGTTATCCATCGTTCTTTGCCTCAAATTGATATCAAGATCGAATAATGTCGCCGACACACCGTTACCGCGTCGTTGAACGTCGTAATCTTTGGAAACGGTCTCATTGAGCGCGTTCTTGCAGATGTTGACGCAAGGTTGGCAGTCAATATTGCCGATCCGGTCGTTATCGCGTTGGATGTCGTAGTCTTTGAAAACGGTGTCGTCGAGCGTGTTCTCACAGATGTTGACGCAAGGTTGGCAGTCAACATTGTCGATCCGGCCGTTATCGCGTTGGATGTCGTAGTCTTTGAAAACGGTGTCGTCGAGCGTGTTCCCACAGATGTTGACGCAAGGTTGGCAGTCAACATTGTCGATCCAGCCGCTCCTCGCTTGGTTACCCGGCGGATTGAACTCGTTCAAGCGAAAAACATCACCGCCCTTACTCGCGCTCCACTTTTTGTGCAAGTCCTCGCGATTGTAATTATAATTCAGCAGCCGGTCGTTCTCGTTCAGATCATCGCGGTCGTAAGTCGACGGCACGCTCAACGTCGTCGCCCTTGTCTTCTTGGTATGGACCGTGCCGGACCAGTGATACTTCTGAGGCTTCTTTTTGCCGGTGCTGGACCACTTGATCCGTGGGATGCGATTCGATCTTTGAACGGAATTCGTTAGCGCGTCTGATAACGTCGGTGTTGCAGCCTTGATCAAGCTCTCTCGGTTATTCGCTTGTTTTTGGCCAGCGAGCAACGTGCTCTCTCTCCGCGCGGAGTCGACAAGCTCGTCGACGCACGACGTGCGAGGGTACGCATTCGCGTCCTCCTCGGTGTCGCACGAACTGAAGTCGTTCCTCGACTCCGTCTCCTCGTCCATCCACGGAGACCTCAGCGACGTATTCTCCGCGGTAATAGTTACGTTTGTGTTTAAGACTGGCTGCTGCGCGTCACTGTCCGATACGCTGTCCGTGTCGTTGTTTATCATTATCGTCGCGTCTAACATCATGCTGTTGCCTCTCCGGTGGCGGTTTAACGTGAAGGTCGAATTTGTTGCCTTAGTCTTATCGTGCGGATCTGTCATAAAATGCCATGCACTGTGATACAGGGCAGGGTGTCGGGGCGTTTCGTATTTTTTGTTTGCTTTTTCTTTTCTCTCTTATTTTTCGAGCCTCTACTCATATAAGTCTCTACTGGTTTACCGACGGGACGCTCTCAAAAGGGTGCAAATGCAACGGGAATCATCGTTCGGGGACGGGGGGAGGGGGGAAAGGCGAGTTCGCATGTGCTATATTATCGTTGAACGTCGCCTACGAACTACTTTTACCACTTTCGCTTAATGTGCGTCCACTCAACAACGAGGGAGGTGCGTCCGACACACAAAACCGGCAGTGGAGGAAATCAAAGCGAAGAATAACGGAATGGGAAGCCAATATAGAGGGAAAAAAAAAAAAAGACAAAAAAAGAAAGAAAAAAAAAGAGAACGTGCAAAAAACGCGGAGGACGAATTCGTTTTACCTTCTTGGTCGTAGTCCACCTCGTGAGTCGCGCTGAACACGCTGTGCGCATCGTTGAGGAATTTGGTCGCATTGTCCATCACGAGCTTGTGCGTATCCAGCACCTCCTCCTCGAGCATCTGCAAGGCGGACACCGCCTCATGGAAGGTATATAGATCCTGCGAAAGCTCACCTTCCTGCAACAAAGAAGTTCGTTCGTATCGAGTTGTGTGTATAACGGCTGTTCTTTCAATCTTCGTCGTCCGCAAGATTCAACGTAACCCCGACTTCGTTTGTTTTATTTATTTTAACACGCTGACCAATGCTAATTTATATATAAAATCATAATCAATGGCGTTTGGCAAATTCAGTATCGAACTGACGGGAAGTCGATGAAATGATTTAACGAATATATAAATCGCGAATAGCGTTGATTTACTGCTTTGGTGATTCAACCTCGACGAGCTGATCATTGCGAGACAACCGATGAGAACAATTAGCGTGGCAGTCAATGTCGCTTTAATATTCTCATTTCTGCGTTTGCTTACATTGAGAGACCGAAGTTGCGCCAGATCGCTGTCCGACAGCACGCTGTTGTTCGCATGTTCCTCGATTTTCAGACCTCGCTCGTCGTCCGTCGGTGAAGCTTTGATCTCCGTGGGGTCGGTCGCCGCCAGTTCCTTCACCCTATCCGCGTATCTCAACGTATTTAAGGAATGCTCGCAGGAACTCATTCCGGGACTGATCATCGCTATCTATGAACGCAGAAGAGTTTATTCGAAGCAAGCTCTCTTTCTCTCTCTCTCTCTCTCTCTCTCTCTCTCTCTCTCTCTCTCTCTCCCCCTCCCTCTCTCTCTCTCTCTCGCTCTTTCTTTCTACCCCGATTGTTTTATATATTCATGTACGCTACGATCAATGAAACAGCCTACCATGCACGTTTTTGATTTCTCGCCGATGAAACTGTCCCTCAGCACTTGAGTCAATTTGCTCGCCCTAAAAGGCAGATGCGTACCTTTGCGACTTAACGCGCGTATACATTCTTTTAATGCTAATAAGGACTTGTTGATCTCAGCACCTTCCATACCTAGAAACATAAACAGGAACATTGTTGATTACACGGTGACACTCATCAATCAGGAGTACGATCGTCCCGGTCGCAGAGTCGTTTTACTCACGAGTTTGTCTGTTAGCGGAGGAGGTGTCGGCACCCCTCTCGTTTCCAGCAAGATCAATGAGAGAGAACTTCCCATGCACCTTGTGCGTGCCCGGGATGCGTGCTATAATTTGAAATACCGCGTGTGATCTCGAGGAGTTGGAATTCGCGCTCGTCTGGCCGCTCGTTCTGGCGCTGTTGCCGTGCTGTATTAACTTCAACACCTCGTCGCAGGTCTCCACCACCTTCTCTGTTAATCCGACTATTTGCACCTATTTGGTCGCCATCAGGAAGATTTCGGAATATTATCGACACAGCAAAGTAAGACAAAATAATCAGCAGCGTGCTTATGTCATCAGGTCGTATGCTTAATTCAAGCTTGCCAACGAATGGAATAATTACCACTTGATATAAATCCTTCCGCAGAATAAAAAAACAATGGGCAACAAAGCCAATGAAATACTAAGTAAGATCAAACGATCGAACGAAATTTCGCTCAAAATCCATGCCATTATCAGTACAAAATACACTCCTAAATTCTATTAAATCGGACGAACGAACCTGCTGCTTGCCGTCCTCCAGGACTCTGAGCTTCTCCTTGTCTGCAAGCAAGTCGAACACCTTGCCGGAATAGATCTCAAAGAAGCTAGCGGAAATGACCAGATTCAGGGGCCGATACTTCGCCAGTTTCAGGCACTTGAACACGTCTTTGGCAACCATGGCGTAAATGCCCTTCTTGCAGTCCTGCGTCTTGCCGTTGAAGTCGCCGCCCATGGTGTGCGTCTTGCCGCTGCCAGTCTGGCCGTATGCAAAGCACGTGGCCATGCCGCCCTCGAAGATCGTCTGTACCAGCGGCTTCGCCGTGTATTTGTAGACTATCTCGTTGTTGCACGTCTCGTCGAATGCGTAGTCGAATCTGAAGATCTGGTTCTCCAGATATTTGGTGAGGTCGACCTTGGCCTTCGGTTCATGCACCACCATCTGATCTTTGCTGGGCACGCTGATCACGTCGATCTCCTTGCGCGCGTGCTCCTTCTTGTTGAGCGGACGCTTGCGGACGCACACGGTGATCTGGTGATCCTCCACGGCGTCGGTTTCTCGCAACGGCCTAAATTCTATGCTGTGCTGGTACTCTCTGCGAGGGTGAAACAAGCAGATATCGATAAACTAACAATGTGATCAATATATGATTCTTAACTGCCGATCGCGAAGCAACTTTTACAGATCAGGAGAAAATCAGCGCGATATATCTTGTGAAAAACGCATAATTATTTTACAATTATATTATACATAATTATTTTACAATAATTATTATTATACATAATAAATATTATACGACTGTACTTTGTAGTTACACAATTAACGGTCGGTAACAGCGAGAAATTCAGCAGAAATTGGCAAAGGGCTTGTAAAAATTCGCCGGACTTTCCGACCATGTTATTTTCGTCAATGGTAACGAAACGGTACACGGCTGTGTTTAATTAACTGTGTCTGTCGTCGTCATCAATCACTTTCTGTCACACACCTCCAGGCAATCGTCTGATCCTGCATCTGTCAAATGTCTCATCTACTGAACTGATGAAGTCATCAGTCGACCCGACGAACTTTCGCAAAACCTTGATATATTGCTAACGCGCTTTTGGGCGCAGTTGTGTTTCAAGAACGAAACTCACGCGGGAGAAACAACTCCGTTAGTGTAATCGAATTTTCCGTTCTCTGAGGATCAGATGAAAAACTCGATTGTATTGAATAGAAGCAGTAAGATTCTTCTGGAAAGTTTCTATTCAGTCATTTCTCGATCACTCATTTAATTCATTTCGTCCGTCTACTCTAATTTTTCCTAATTTTGCTTCTTCTTTTGCTTGCTCACGTCTTTATTCGCTCATTCTCGCTTGTACGTAATACTATTATTTTTAATACGTACACACACGGTTTTTTTACTTCCACCCTCGCGCTACCTTGATATTATGTAACTGGAGAGTTTCTCCCGTTGATAAATCGATTCGACGTAAAATCTCAAGCGAATTTCAACTCACGTTTAGACAAATGTTCCCGCTCGCGATACAACAGCGCGATATCATTTCTCACCACTGAATTTCCATGCGGTCCCCGTTTAGTCACCAACTAAACTCGAACCGACATCTGTTTTTTCGCTTATTATCGGATAAACGAGGTTGTACAAGACGAACCTTATCATAGCGAGGAACTCCCAGTTCGGATTGCCCGGGTCCAAATTCATCAGAGCCTCCTTCTCCTCTTTCAATTCCGCCTGTCGCTGCCTCCTCTCTTCTCTGTTCTTCTTCAGTCTCTCGACTTCCTTGACGACGTTTGATCGCCTACTCCGGCCATTCTCCACCTGGGCCTGCTGCTGCTGCTGCTGCTGCTGTTGTTGCTGCTGCTGCAGCTGCTGTTGTTGTTGCTGCAGCTGCTGCTGCTGTTGTTGTTGCTGCTGCTGCTGCGCCTGTTTCTGCTTGTTCTGCAGCGGGTTCGCCAGGTTGTATTGCGTGACGACCGTCGTAGGTGTCGGCGGTATGTTCTCGAGTTCCCGACGTCCTGTCAGTCCGGAAATCGACTCGCCGTGACCGTTCACGGACGTAGCCGGTGCCATAATGTTCGTCGGGCGGCCTGTCGGCCGTGACAATTGCCTATTCGAGCTCGCTGAAACACCGGTACGAAGATTAATGCCAACTGCAGTGCCTTCATTAGCACTGGCGATCGCGCCCGACTTTGTCGGCATTTCGATCATGCGAATAGACGCGAATTGAATCTTTGATTACGCGTGGCGATTCATGCTCACCGCTCAGCTTTCTCGGTTTCTCTTCCCCTTGCCGGCAGCGCGGCGAAAAGCTCTCGTCGTTTCTCTCTCGACGATCAAAACAACAGACCGCATACGTACAATTGGACGAAGCTTGGCAATTTTAGCGCGATTTATCTTTTCACGTTATTTTCACTGATTTCTCGCGTGAGAGCTACACACCGATCGAGCACATCCGAGAATTCATACTCGACCGACGAGAATAATGTCGCGGAGGGGGAAAGGGAGGAATGAATCTCAGCGGGAGACTCGTCGGGACATTACACAGTGAATATTACCGGCGTCATCGTCCTCGATCCGAAGCGTCAGGATCCGCTTGTCGGCACCGGCGGCGACGGCGACGGCGACGACGGCGGCGGCGGCGGCGGCGGCGACGTCTGTATTCACGCAGTCGCGGATCTTATTTTTCCTGCGGAAGCAATAGGCGAGCGGATCGAATCTCATGGCGAGCACGCGATCGCGAGCACACGAAATCTCTTGAATTTCTTAAAAACCGATCGACCGGGCGAGCCCCCGGCGAGTCCTCGTCGTCGTCGCGACTCCGTCGGCGCGTTTCGCCAGGAGATGCACACTGCCAGCCACCAGCTAGAGAGCGGTATGGTGTGTGTGTGGTAGCGGCGTTGGTGGCGGCGACGGCAGATCGAACGGTGTCCGAGAGAGGGTCAGCCGGAAGAGCGCAACCCCCTCGCGAGCGCGAGCGAGCGAGCGAGCGAGCGGCGTTATACGTCGCCGTCGTCGCCGTCGGGGTCCTTGCCCTTGTGCCGGCCTACCGCGAATATCGATAGTCACGGTTCAACCCGTGCACACACGTGAAGCGAGGTCCGTGTCTGCCAACTCGGCTGGCTTTATCTAGGTGAAACGACCATGGAACGCGCATACTCACACGTACACGCGCGCGCGCGCGCACACACACGGAAGAAAAGTTTGGTTGTATTAAAGCGACGACGAAGAAACTAAAGTTCCAGTTGAGGAGAACGGGGGGAATGCCTGCTTCTTCTTCGAACCGAGTCTGGACTCATCAGGGACGCAGGATTCCGCCGAGGAATTCTACTCCCTTCAGGACGCGTTCGGATCGTTCATTGTCACATTAGTTCGTGCCAGTTTGCCGCCACGTGCGTACACACGTGCGTGATATGTGCGTGTGTATCAGCCGACGAAATTGACTTATTGAACGCGGAGACGTTCCACCGCTTATCCGCGAAATCAGAAAGACTCATCGTGAGGCGACGCTTATCGATCTTCCGCGATGTCGAGTGTCGGGATACGCCTCGTCATGTTGGCATAATTTTCGCGAAGACGCCTTCTGCATCTGAGATTAGCTGCGCTTCACTGAACACTATCGGCTCGTGGAGCACAACGATACGATCACGTTTCATTAATGAGGTCGTGTTCTGATTAGTCTTTGGCAGACTCGACTTCCGGTCGAATGTCGCGAAAGTACAGATTTCGCCGTCGACGATTCGCGTTGGACGATACGCGAGAGACAAGACCGTCGCTGAGAATGTGCGATTTGTGAGAGAGGTGCATCGCGATGAGGCCGTTCTTAAAAATCGCGATGAGTACCGCGATGCACCGCGTCAGAATTTTGTGTCGTACGCACGCGCGATTTTCAACCGCGATCGCGATCTCGTATCGTCAGCTCGATATTTTTAATCGTGTGTAATTTTAAACTGCATGCGTTTGCAAGCGCGATTTTGAGCGACTTTCAATCGCGAACGCGACTTTGCGATAAGAATGCAATTGCACGCGGCATCGGGATTCACGAGAAGAAAAGCGCAATGCTTGCGACACGTCTCGCAAAATCGCATATCTCCAGTCGTAGTCGCGCCATTTCGTCAGTCACTCGTTGATAACATCGGCTTGTTTGAGCTTGCTTAACAAAGCGCGACGGGGCAGGCGAAGAGAAAAAGAAAATGCGTCTCTCTCTCCCTCTCTCTCTCTCTCTCTCTCTCTCTCTCTCTCTCTCTCTCTCTCTCTCTCCCTCTCCCTCTCTCTTCTCGTCGCTACGTACCTTTCACTGGAATAGACGGCCTGGTGGAGTGCTGAAAATAAAGAAAACAGACTACAGTCAGTCTCGCCCGATTGGAAAGCGATCGGTTAAAAGTTTGGTGTTGCTTCGTGCAATCGATGAGTGTTATACTGAATTATATCTAGGAGTGCTGTAAATGAGAAAACAAAACGGTGCTTCTCTTCTCGAAGCCGAGAGGTGTATGATACATCATTTCCGGCGGGGGGCGACGGCGCGCACACGCGCGCGATCATCGTCGGCTTCCGACGGCTTCCACGTCGGTCGGCGCGAGATAAGACACCCATCCGGTTTTCCATCGACCGGTCTCGTCAATCCGGACGACCACTCGCACGTTCCCTTCCCGAGCGTATCGATCGCGTACACAAGCAGCGCGGCGGTTTTCGACCTAGTCCCCGGTATAGTCCCCGGTCACGTCGCGCGGCTTCTCACCTGGAGCTCCCCCGAAAAGCGCGAAGCGCGCGTTAATCGCCGCCTTTCTCCCGGAAAGGAACACGTCGGCGTGCAGGGCGACGCGCGCGAATTCCACGACTTCCTCCTCGCTGAGACATCCGCCTGCGCACGATGCAGGGACATTCTCGTCGTGTCGAGGCGGGTGCGGAAGGGGTGAAGAGAAACGTTAGTGACGGTGCTCTTCTTGGTGAGCGGGCGTTCCGGCCAAGCCGAGATGCTCAGGCTCGTGGTGGTGGAGAGAAGGTGCGGAGAAGCAGCGCGAGCAACGCTCTTTCAGCATATTCCGCTCGATAATAAGCCGAGGATGGAGGAGTCTAAGAGCGAGAAGCGGTCCCCGCTGGAACTACCACGTGGCAGTTTCGGTGAGCACTCGCGGAAGACGAGGTCGCGGGTGACGCGCGAATCACCCCCTGGAACCCCCTGGTTCACCGACCGGATTCTCCCGGAGAATCTCTGCGAACGCTCTTGCGAGTCGGAGATTCGATCGTCGGAGTCGGAAATTCTCGATTCGCGGCCGGATATCGCGCGCGTCTATCGTGCATTTGTCTCTAACACGTTGCGCGACGACTTCACTTCCTCAAGTGAGAAGAACAAGCTGAAACTTTCTCTTCGGGGAAACAACCCGGGGTGTCTCAGCTTGTTCTTCTCTCGTTGAGGGAGCGAAATGGGAGTTGTCGCGAGACGCGTTGGACATGGCCACGCTGGACATAAGCACCAAGCCGGAAAGCAAATCAAGTTTTTCTTCCACATCAGTCGAGAATTTCGCACCCCTCGAGACTAAAACGCGTCGATTCGCCCGATCTCTTTTTACCCTGTGATGTCGCGCTGCCCGTGTTGCCTGCCGATAATCGAACAGCGAAAGGCAGTGACGGTCCCATGGAAGTTGAAACGATTCCCCGAGAGATATCGAGCACCCCGGTCAACCCCTATGCACCCTTTCTAGCGCGCTACCTCCCGCCGACTCGAGTGCGTGGTGAAAATCTACACGTCGTAGAAGCTCGGTCGAGCGCTCCTTCAAGTCGCTCGTCAAGATCAGCTCGTCGACCGGCCGCGGCGCGTGATGACGAAGGGGTTGTCGTTGTTATGCTGCAGCAAGGGTTGTGGTGTGTACGTGTGTGTTAATGTTTGCGGTGATGGAGAACGAGGGCGGAGGGCGACGGGGGGTAGGAAGAGGTGCGCGTTACCGAGAGACGAGATGTGACTCGTACAGGAAGCGTTGCGGATGCGAGGCCGTTTCTTGCGGTGTGACCGCCATGGCGTCCGAGGGAGCCCTCCTCTTGGTTCTCCGACTCGTCGACCCCCTCGTCCTCCTCAGCCGAGGAGTCCCGCTCCTTGGCGGGGCACGGCCGAGTGACAGGCCGGTTTTTCCCGGCGCAAAGAAGCATGCATTGCAACATTTACGCGAAACGCCGATATCGATATCAGATCGATATCAGACCGACCGAGCGAGCCGGAGGGGGGTCGATGAAGGGGAGAGTCGTCAAGGAAGACGGCAATTTTGCGGAGAGATGAGCGATGGCCGGGACGACGAGTGAGTCGAGTATTCGAGATCGGTTTGTTATCGAGCCGGTTTTTGTCGCCGGGGGGGTGCGGGTCGGTGGTCCATCGTCGAGACGAGGTCACGAGGTCCGTGATTATGAGCAGCGTCCATGGAGGGAAAAAAAGATGTTACCATGTTAGTAGCGGGAATGACGCGCGAGAGATTCTGTGTTTTTGCGGCCTTCGTCGGCGTCGACATGTCTCTCTACGAGGGAAATTCTTCAGGGGCTTCTCTCGCTAGCTACTCCCGGGACGCGGATCCTGCTGGTCACTCGAGTCTCCCAACATTTCTTTTCTCTCCGGATACACGTACACGCAACCGGATAATTCTGCGCGAGATAACCCTACCTACCCCCCCCCCCCCACCCACCCATCCCGTCTTTGCGTCACGTTCCACTCGATGAATCGGAGTTCATGAATTTATTGCACTACCTGCTGCTGTATGCTTGGTCAAATTAATCCTACGTAAGTCGATCCTTCGTGTGAATTGTCTCTGAGCAATTTATTCCACATCAACATGTGTGCGTGCGCCCCAGAAGTCGATGCCGGCCGGCAGGCTGGTCAGTCAGCCACCTTTCGACTCCTACTCGAATCACATTCTACATAGAGTATTCAAAGACAACCTCGATTCCCGAGACACTCTACATTGCATACAGCGCGTCTATCTAACACACACCGCGCGTGAGCATCGTGCATCCTTTCGAGGAGAACAGAACCGTCATAATAGTAACGATAATAATGTCGAAAGCGCAACCTCTTCGTGGAAAATCAAAGCGAAGCAGCGAAGGGACAACCGCACGCAGAAATAAATACCGCGGCCGTGCACGCACAGTCGCAGTTGCTTGTCTCTCTCGACGTGCCACGTGTCAGAAGAGCCGGAAACCCGACGCGACGCGACGCGATCGGCTGATGACGTGTCGTCGCCGTCGCGTTCAATTGAAAGAAACACCTGCGGAGAGAAACGACCGATTGCGCGAGTGACGGGGAGAGTCCTACCTGAAAGACGTACAGGTACTGGAACATGTCTACCGCGATGTAAACGTCACGAGACGCGGGACCGGATTATTCTTTCCATATTAGGAGCGAGGTTATTCCACGTAGCCCGGGCAACCGGTAAACAGAATTCGCCGGCCAGTCGATGATCGACCGGGAATTTACGCGGACACACGATTCGTTTGAGCCCCCGTTCGCGCGAATTTAACTTTCCTCGCAAAGTGGTACGCGCGCGCGTTATCAACGGCCGAATGATTCGCGAGAATCGCGCGAACGTCGGCTCTGATCTAACGGCGATGATAGCCAGAATCATCGAACATGACGACGCGAGAGCGACTCGCTCTAGATTCTCGCAGTCTCGGTGGCGATTTCAATCGGTGGCGGGTAAGATTGCGCCTTTTCAACGCCTACGTATACCTGTGCTCTTGCGCACTCTGTCTCCGGAGACTCCTCTCGTGACGGAGAAAGAAACGAAACGGAAAAAGAGAGAATTTGGCAGCGTTCAGCAGAAAAAGCTGCTTACTAAGCGTACTTAGTGATTATTATCTGTGATCTTTAACAAATCCAGGGGAATGAACCAATCAGAAACGATAATCACTAAGCGCTTAGTAAGCAGCTTTTTCTGCTGAACGCAGCCTTTGTCTTCCTCATGTATCGCTCTTCGTTCTTTTTTCGTTCGTCCTTCAGCCGGTGTCGCCGATAAGTTTATTTCGTAAACAAACAAAAATCGATAAGAAGAAAGAGAACGGCAGCACGCTGCCGTAGGTTTCCGGCGTCTTCGGGCGTTCGATCGACGCTTTCCGCGAACTCCCGTTAACTTGGAAGCGTTTCAGGACGACGCGTCATTCGACGCCGGTGCGTATTTTGACGGGGATTAATATGCGACTGTACATACCCTCGCCTTCGAAGACGCCAACATGTGGTTGTTCATCTGCGACGGCGGTCCCATCATCTTCTGGCTCAGATCGCGATTCAGGGCGAGAATCGCGTCGATCTCCACCTGTGAAACAGATACGTGCGAGAACTCGTGCGAATATTTGGATCATCGATCGCAGGGCCTCCCCCCATCATCTTGTGGATCATCACTCGCATCACTCTTCGCGCGAAACGAAAGAGCGAAATATACTTCGCGACCCCCGCTTAGCGGAGATTTTTTCTAGCAAATAACAGTGATTACCTTACGACGTGGAATGAGACTCTGCTGAAGCATTTTCTCCCGAAGAGACGTATAAAATCCCGCAAAAAAGATTCCGCCAACGCGTCGAAAAACTCGCAAAAATTGAGAGAACGTCGGACGACACTCGGCGGATATATTTTTTCCTCCTCACTTGGAATACACTCGACGCGCGCTCTTTTCCCGGCACGTTACACAAAGTTGCGACCGCGAGGACTCCCGTATTTCGCGCGATTTTTCCCGTTACGAAGAGACATATAATTATCGTGCCAGGACGGTTCGTACGCGATAAAAATGCCGGTTTTCTTTATTGCACGAGCCCCGTCCTCGTGGCGTATCACGTTACGTTACTTTTTGCAAAAGCCACGCACGGCAAACGAACCGGCCTGACTGACGCGGTGAAGCCGGACTTTCAAGCAGGCTGTCGGAAATAGACTCGCGCGCTCCCATTAGCGCGGCTGCATGTTCGCCCCGTGGCATTGCATAAGCTCGGAATTGAAAATAGCCAAATAACCGTGACCTACGGAATTGAAATATTGCGGTTCGAGATGCCGGCGGCGGCGAAGATGGCGATGGCGTCGCGACGATAAACAGCGGATTGTATGTCGCGTGTCCGTGTGCTCTTTAAATTTCTCTGTCTCTGAAATGCCGCTTGAAAAGCCGAGCCGACCAACAGACAGCCGCGAGTCGCTTAAATTCGAGTAACTTCTCACTCGTCGAGAACGATTTCTCCACGTTGAGCGGTCGAGTGGATCTTCATTCGAGGGCAAGAAATCCAATGCAACGTGCTTCGCCGTTGCAAGAACAAATTTATCCATATCGATTTCGAAACATTCAGTCGTATGGAACGGGTGATTCGCTCCGAGGTGCAATTAAGTTCGTTCGAAGTCTGTTATCTAATCGCAATGATTCAATAGCGGCAAGCATCTCATTGAAACGGGACGTCTCTCTTACTGAAGAAAATTGCTTGAATTATATATAATGTGATTTTTACATTTTTAATTTTTTTTTTCCGTTTTATATCTCTAAGTTTTCTGTGAAAACAGCTGAAGTCAAACATTCGTTCTTGTGACGCTGAGAACGGCGGAATTCACCTATTTTCACTTATTTTCGGCGAGATCTCGCTGCAAAATATTTAGAGAGTACACTTTCCGAGTTTAACCGCATGTCGACGTATCAGCGCACTCTCAGCAGACTTACAGAGAGACGAAATGGAAGTTGCGGCGCGATTAAAAAATTTACTTTCGGCTGATCTCCTGACGGTAACCTGGTAAATCGCGCCGAGACTCGTCTCCCGTTGGATGTAAAAATGCAAACGTAAATTTCCCGAGTCGCTTTATGCGATCGTAAATGCAACGGCGCAGTTTGCCAGCGTACTTACCTCTTTGCCTTTGGTTTCTCCCCTCTCGAACCATTCTACTGTTACGGTGCGCTGCTCTAAATTGACACCGGAGACGACTGCCGAGTGAACGCGACCTGAAACAAAAATTGCACATCGCAATGCATAAGGACTGCGGTAATAATGCAGATATAATGATCGCTCCGCCGATCGCTATGCAACGGAGAGAGCGTGCACGCGCGTTGCTTTCAATTAATACGGGAGACACTCGATGTATATGCAGAGGACTTTTTTTTCCAGCGCACACAGATTCATATCGTATTGTAACGTAAGCGTATTATAACGCAAACACGAAGGGAACGGGTCGCTGGAAAAGCAAACGCGGACAAAGTGGAAATAGTCCGAAGCGCATTTTTGTCCGTTTAACGAGTGAATATTTGCACGCAAAAAATGAATATTTAATCCAATGCCAGTTCCAGTGTCACGGTACTCTTTTCTTTTTTATATTCAGTTGAACAATTTTTTGTTAATCTTCAATATGTTTTCGTTCTTTTATCTTTTTTCATTTTACTGGAATAAAATAATTCATTTTATAATTTTATTTTTGTCCTCATCGCTCATACGTAGGTATGCCTCCGCCGCATTTTGAAGAAAAAAATGTTGATACTAACGCGAACTTTCCAGAAAATTGGCAGGTCTTTTATGCTTTAATTAAAAGAAAGAAGAAACGCCCAACAATGTACCGTTCTGCACAACTTCCGCCTCATCGCCGTCGCTCTTGGCGAAATTCGCCGCTCGGCGCAGGGGGGACGCGAGTCTAGGTATCAAGGATCCCTCGGGCCGAGTCCTTCCTTTTGCAACTCGCTCCTCATCCGCCAGAGGTCGAACCTCGAAGCTGCACGAGTTCAATTTCCGCCGAATCCCGCTGTGTTCGCGAGACAGCAGCGCGGCTCCCTTAGAGCCAACTTTGCTCGTCTCCTTGGATCCTCGCGTCTCATTATTATTCACGCGCGAATTATGCGAGGCTTCGACGCAGGACCTTCGTTTGATCGGCGGCAAGACCTTCCTCAAGTCTTTGGATCTTGCCTTCTTCGATCGCTCTTGCCTTTCCTTGGAAAAATTAATCCTCGATGAGGTTCTCTCCACGAGCTTCTTATCGAAACTCTGCGCTGTTGCGCTGTCCGTCTCCGGTTTGTCCTCGACCTCCGACGTCCAGGACGAGTCCTCAGGCTCACCGGAGATCGCCGATCTCGAGGCGGACTCGTCCGGATCCTCTTCCGCGTCCTTCTGCTCTTCCTCGTCTGGAGCGTACTTGACCCGCTTCTCGTCCTCGTCGGCCGTGCATATCGATACATATCTCGAATGCAGCAGCGCGTCGTTGTAATCGATAACACATGCCTCCGTTAGTTCGGGCTCGTCCGTACTCCTTGCCAAGTCCTCGTGAAGCGAGTCCTCCTCGAGATCCTCGCGATCGTCGATCGGACGGGGCCAAATGTCACTCGGTGGATCGTCCAGCACTTTCGTCGCGTCCGCTCGAGGTCCACCGTCGAACTGATTGTTCGCGAAGTCGTTCGGCTGATTAACAGCATCACCGTTCCTTAAAATCCTCCCTGTGATCTCCTTCTCGAGCTGCCGCTGCTCGTCCTGCGACTTGAGCGACGACTCGACGACGCAGACCGACGACACGGGCAGCTCTTTTCGTGCTCCTTTACGCTTCGAAAGCTTCTTCGACTTCTTGCTCCTCTTGCTGCTGTCGCGCTTGCGACTTTCGTCTTTCCCAGCCGCCTTCTTCTGGTCGTCGAGCCTGTTCTTCGTGCCACACACGCACAGCGACAGCCAATCCATGTTGAGCTTGTAGCTCGGCAGCTCGGCTGACTCGAGGAACTTAAATTCCGCGAGGCAAGATTACGTCACTCCGTCAGCGACGATAATCTGCCGACACTCGTTCGACGCGACATTCCGTTTGTCCTGCTGCCCGACTGCCGAGCCGACAGGCTTCCGCGAATGTCGCCGAGTCCAAGGACTCCGGGCAATCTACTCTCGCGATCGATTCGCCGAGGAGCTTCCTCGGGAACGTCCAGGTTTAGTCTGGCGATGCTCGCTTCGCGCCGCAAAAATTCGTCGAATTCCCGGCGAAGCCGCTGCGGCTCGGCGATCTTAAAAAAGCGCCGTCGAGAGGCTATTAGCGCCGCGAAAGGCGCGTTCACGTGGTCTCTTTTGCTGCGCTCCTCGAAGCACCGCGCGCGCGATCGGCGATTATCCCTCGGGAACATATTCCCTCGGCCGAGACAGTTCGCCGGGCGCTCCTCGTGCTCCAAGAATAAACGCACTTTCGCGGGGAACGCAATCTGTTTGACTTGCGATGCCCGCAGGTAACGTCCGCGAGCAAATGTACGGCGAGTGGAACGAACGCGCTAGCTTGTCCCATGAAACAACATTCGTCCCGCGTCCCGAGCGGTCTCGCGAATCTCCATTTCCCAGGTATATCCTCGTAAATCGCACCCCTGCCGATAAACAACTGCGAGTACTCTGCGCGTTTCACGAAGGTATTCACTCTGCAAGAGAACCGCACTGAAAGGAAATGGAAAGGAAAGGAAAGAGGAGAGAGAGAGAGAGAGAGAGAGAGAGAAACTTTAGCGAATTCGCAACTTGAGAAATGCCTGAGCAAACGGTCGGAAATTGTGAGGCGCGATGACAGGGGCGAGAGGAAGGGGAGGGGGAAGGGAAGCTTAATGAGGCGAAACTGGGTCGGGTGACAATTAACTTTGCAGGATGATCCGCGAGTTCGCAGCGTATAGCGACGCCGTCGTTGTCGGCGACAAAGATTCGAGACACGCTCGCGGACGCGTCGCGACCGACTTGATACCGTCGACTGACAATGCACGCCGAGCGACGTTTCATAAACGCACTTATCATGACGCCCGAGGAGTCATTTCAGGCCGGCGGCGCGGGGCCCCCACCTCGGGCTGCGAACAATTTCTCGGCTCGCCCTGATGAGCCCGTGCGTTATGCGCTATCGGTTACGAGAGCAGCCGATGGGAGGACGCACGCGGAATTATTCGGCCAGAAACACCGCTGTGAAGCCGATGTGTGCGTCGCAACGGCGGCGTTGTATTAAAAAGTCATTAAGCTCGTGACTGCTGGAGAAACGAGAGGCGGATCATTCAGACGGATTATCGTCGGATAATTACAGCGTCGGAGACAGAAAAAAGAGAGAGAGAGAGAGAGAGAGAGAGAGAGAGAGAGAAGGGGGGGAGCTTAATTAACCGCGTTGAAAAAATCTGATAGAAAGAACCAAGTCTCAAGGTTACGCGAATCTCTGTCGGCCGAGGTCGAGTAAAAATGGACAATTCGACGGTAGAAATTTGGACGACGGAAAGTACAATCTTGTGAGATCATTGAACCCGAGATTCGATCTTCTCCGAATTGTTTTGCGACACGAGCTCGTCCGCGAGTCGACATTCGCATGCGAGCAGATTCAGAAAGATGTCGGCAAATTTGCGAGGGTTTCCCCGCGAAGTGGAACCGCGGCTCCGCTATTCGTTCGAGATTCTAGCTACATCCGGCTGTTGCCGAGGCGGCCCTCGCGCAAGGTTAATGTCGCGAACGGCGCTCGATTCCCGCGGCACCAGCCGCGCGCGGCGCACGAATGTCACTCGAAGAATCGATAACTCGGCGGCATCGCCGCGAGCCGAGCGGGGAATAATTCACGAGTTATTTCGGGATGAGGAGAATTATATATATCGGCCTAAAGTTTAGGGCGCGAGAGCGCGGAGTCGCGAGCAGGCCCCGTGCGCGCCGATGGCCGAGGGTGGACTGACGTCGTCGCGGCGACCGATTCGAGTCGTCGATTACGCGCGCGGACGATAATGAGGAGGCATTAACGGGACCTCGTTAACGATCGGTCGGTGGCGTGCGAATTTTCGCGGCTGACTTTCCCGGGCAGCTCATCTGCTCAACGTCCGTGTAACACATTCGTAAGTGACGTCAACAACGATCGACTCGCTAGGAAATTGCGAGAGATCGCGAAATCGCGAGCACGCGTTTAATACACACGGTGTCCCGCGAGAAGCCAGCGGCGTGGACGTACGTCGACTACAAAGCTACGAGGCTCGATCGACCGCCACGAGACGTCGTCATCGTCGTCGCCGTCGTGGCGTGGATCCGTCGCCAATGAGATATGTAACACTGAGCTCATCTGGCATTCACGATATGCGACTCCCGGTGCCTCCCGGTGCGTGACCACGCGGTACCAGCCCATATTTATTTACAGTGTACGGCTCGGAAGTCGAGCCTTTACCTACACACGGGGACGATCGCGCCGCGGAAGTGCGGGACCTCTTCGACAGGTAGTCGGCGGCCAGCGCGCGCTTCTTCCTCGCCGCGCCTATAAAACGCCGCCTCGGTGGTCATTGGGTTTTCGTTCTTGTCGAATCCAATCGAAAATTTCACATCTTCGCGCGCTGCCAAGTGTTACAATTCGACGCTTGTAATAAACCGTGCATTCATAACTGCCGCCGTTACTTCTCCGTACGTCGCGAATGATCGATCAAACGTTCAAGCAGTGTGACAAATAATATTCGGACTTTTCAGCTGAAACGAAACGACGGTACTCTTGTTGTGCCGTTGCAATTTCATGAAATCGATGCGTAACCCTGCGTCACGCGTTGTTTCATCAATGTTACAACAACATAAGAGTAATATAATCGCTTCGTTCAACTTGAGAATTCTGAAATTATTTATCACACGCAATCCAGTAACCGCCGAATCTAACACGAGTTATTAGCGGTGATACACCAGCTTGAAATTGATCGGTAACCAAACGGAAGAAAATTCCGTTCGTCTTAAACGAAAGCTGTAAGCGAAAAATTTACAAAAGACGTGACGAAATAGTGGCGGCTCTTTTTTAGATGCTCAACGACGACATTAGCAATTAAATGCCCCGAAACCACTGACGCGTCTCGATCCGACTGAAATGCATTTCGGCCGCATCCCGATTAAAACGGGAGCGCTCAACAAGCGCGCTCGGGTTCGGGGGTCCACCAGCCGCACGGTCTATTGAACATTAAATTTAAGCAGCGGCTTCCTGCCGCAGATCCGTCGTGTGTAAAGTGAGCATGGAGGATGTTGTGTTACATTATGTCGGTACACAAAGCTCGAAATCGAGCAATCACATCGTACATGCACAACGGCGCGGCTAATCGTGATGCGCCTCGAGAGCGCCGAGGGAAATGAAAATGAAGGGCCAGTCGTACAAATGTCGCGCGTGAATGTCCGGCGTTTTGTCCATCACGTTGTTATTGTCATTAGACGTTAAACGAATAAGAATATCGGATTCACCTTGAAATTTCATACAGAACTAACAGGGGGATCCCTCCGACGAATTCAGAGACGCGAGCAAGCGACGAAGCCAAATTTAAAGCCCCGAAGAACAGAATGAACGAATAAACAACAGAAGCCACTAAGCAAGATCCAAACTCGAGCTCTTCGATGTATCGGACACGCAAACGAGCGGCGAAGCCAAAACTCGAAATCTCCGAGGAAATAAAACAGAAGAACGAATAAAACGACTATCGAATAGAATTACAATTTCGTCCGTGTCCTTTCGAAGTGCGAACTAATTCCACGAACGCGCGGTTCCATGTCGAAGGTCCCCCTTCACTCGTGTCCCCGGATGATCGTGTTTAATCGAATTCTGTACAGAGGATACGAGGAGACACGTATCGCTGTTGCGACTCGTGGGTGGGACAAGGGAACGAACGAGTCTCGTGTTGGCAACTCTTTTAGTTGCCAACAGTCCCACGGAGAACCGCCACTTGCGGGAGGACTCGAGCTTGTTACCGACCAGACCAAGTCGAGAGCTTGAGCAGCAAGTTCTCCGGCTGGGTTACCAACAGCACCGGCCGGCCAACAGCTGGTGATGGTGTCCAGCGGAGATGGGGTCGGATTACACCGCGTGTATGCGTGTACACATTGTATACGCACGTGCATAAATAGACGCGTTCAGAAGTGCCAAGCAAGTCCAATTTGTCCGAGACAAATTGGATTTTGCCCGTCGGATCATATCACCGTCGGGCCTCCGGTGATGACGACGACGTTACACGCGCGTTGTTTTGTAGGAATCAACCGGAACACCGCGAATTCTTAAAACCTACCTATCGTAACCACAGCACATCGCGACGCGTCGCGCTTTCGCTTGAATTATTATTAACTCTGTTAACCGGGTCGTTTCTGAATCGGAGACCCGAGACCTGAATCAAAGGCGGAGCAGATAAATATAATCGAGGGAGGAGTGAGGAAACGTCGGAAGACACAGAGCGCGCGCTTTCACGCCGCGAACGGCCGATTGTCGTGTTTTCGGATTTTCAACGTTAAATTCGGTTCCGATTCGGACCTCGCGAGAATGTTCGCTTTTAGCGATACTTCCTTCGTCAATAGGTAATTATCTAGTTCTTCTCCCCGCGTCCGTCAAGTGACTCGCCATTTCATTAATATTGTTAACTTTAACTTTATTTAAACCAGTGTCGAGCCAATGAAGTCACTATAAACGAGCTTTCGCCAGTCCAACACGCGGTGTGTCGCTTCGTCCCTCAAACTCGCAGGGTAATTGAATTCGTTCGTTAAGCCAAAGAAATTCTTCGCTCCAGCGTCAAGCTCGGTTCTCCTCGGCCGCGAGAAAATGAGACTTGACGTGTGACTTGAGTGGGGTCTCAAATACGGCACAGCACCCTGAGAGTTTAACGTTAAACGCTGTGTCCGATTACGGTGGTCGCGCTTCGAAAGCCGCAAGTCTGCGGCAAATAGTGCTACCGGCGCCCTTGCGCACACGGAGTCGGTGTGTTGTCTGTGTGTGTCTGTGCGCGCCATCCACCTTCGCGTGCGGCTTTTAAAAATGGCTCGCGCTGGCGGGTGGGCGCGAGATCGCACGTGAAGACGGCACGTGAGCGCGCGCTCGCGCTATCCCGAACAAAAAATTGTTAGGGTCATCCTCATGAAGCACTAGGCCCCGATAAAGCTGAAAGTAGGACGCCCTAAAAAGGACTGCCTCATTATTACTACACCCAGGCTCCAAGATGGATCTTCTAGGGATGTTTTAGATTTTACGAAATAAGGCTTTAACATAGAAAACTGATGTGGGCCTTAGAAGGAGCTTTCGAGGATGCTTTATACAAAACCAAGTTTTGTTATAGAAAATTAATAAGATCTGAAGCGTGTAATAAAATTGTCATAGTTTAATATTGTTTTAGTAGATACCTGTTCTATCTGATTCTTTAAAAAATTTTTTAATTATACCGTAATTAAAAACAAATGTTATTAGTCGCCATTCATTAGTCTCTTTCAAGAATTTTTCTAGTATCGTCTTCGTTTCGAAATGCAGCAAACTTTAATAAAAGCAGTGGCAGGATTTTTATGTGTAAAGAATGCTATATTTTTAAAATAAAAGTTCTTGTTGTATATACTAACAAGGTTGTATACCAACAAGGTTATAAAGAAATAAAGAAATTACAGTCTAAATTTGTTGGAATAAAAAGAACAAATATTTTTACTCGAGCAATAATAAAAATATTTCTTTGTAAGGCCCTATTGGTATTATAAGGCTGTCATAATATTGCCTTATGAGGACCCGTTAAACCATTTGTTACGCATCTTGTAAGACCCTAGTCTTTCTATCCCTACTAAGGCCCGATTAATATTAGGGAAGAATAATCGAGCCCTTGCCAGAACCCTATTAATTTTTTTACTCGGGATGTGAGACGCGGCGCGTCGTCCACCAGATTTGCATGTTTCTCGATCGAGCCCGGTTGACCTGTTGAACCGATATACAAAGTTCGTCAGCCATTATTTCGTGTCGCTGTCTGGCGTAACGTGCAAGTAGTACACAACATTATACCCCATTCTGG